TGCCTCTCTCCGTCCACTTTCCTGCTTCCCATTTTTCCAATCTTTCTCTCTCACTCCTCATTCCATCTTTCTGTTTCTCCCCATTCCATTCTTTCTACCTCTCTCTTTCCTCCTCTCTCTTCCACCTTTCTCTGCAACTCCTACCTTTCACATTTCTTTGCCTCTCCTTCCACCTTTCTCTGCCTTTTACCACCTTTTCCTTGTAATTTATTTTTGTGAATATATATTCGCTTATTAGTCAAAAGTCTACCTGCTTTTAATACCGCCTTCAGTATCTTATCGAGTTTAACGGTTATGTACATGGGTAAAGTATCAAATTCACATATATATGCACTGTATACATGTAAAACTATAAAGCTTATGTTTCTCATGAATATATATCGTACGCATATATCTATCTGTCTCTCCACCTATATATATATATATATATATATATATATATATATATATATATATAATATATATATATATTACATTCAACATACATACATACATACATATATATATATATATATATATATATATAATATATATATATATATATATATATATATATGCATATGTATATAAATGTGAGTGAATATTCCAAAAAACGCATTGGTAATGGCCTGGAATTCTAAGGAATTCGTCTGCTAAACGGAAACAAAAGACGACCGCCGCCGGTGCACTCAGGAATTGTTTTTCCGTATGTCGTATTTTTGTTATTTTGTATGACTGCAGATGTTTTGATTCAAAAAAAGGTGTTTAAAACAACAATGAGTTATTTTCTCCTGTTCAAATTAATCAAACATGAAAATTGCTGAAGCCAATTAATTCATTTTCTATATAGTGATGCGGGTCCATCTTATGTTGTTGAATGTTTCAATACTGGTATGGTAATGTATTTATTGTATATTGTTTTATGCAGTACAGTGCAATAAACAAGAGAGCAACGTATGTAACTTATAATCACCAGACTGATCCTGCGTACTGTAACTGTAATCTGATATTCATCCGTTTATGATAGTGTATGGTCCAATATTATTATTTATATCCGTTTTCTTTATCTGATGTTTAGAGAACGGCAGAAATGCAGCTACGGAAAAGCTGACAGACCTGAATTATCCACTGAGAATATTACTCCAAGATGTCAATATCACATCGCAGGAAACCGAACGGAAGAGCGTCTCGGTTTTTCTGTTGTGAATGGAAGCAGTTGGGCAAGAAGAGTTGTCGGGTGAAAGAAAGGAAAGGGGAGGGAGAAATGAGACAAAGAAATCGCCAATAAAGCTGAGGAACGATTTCGAAAGATATGAAGCTTTATTGGTTGTTATTTGGACGGGCGCATAAGAGAGAGAGAGAGAGAGAGAGAGAGAGAGAGAGAGAGAGAGAGAGAGAGAGAGAGAGAGAGAGAGAGAGAGAGAGAGAGAGAGAAGAGAGGAGAAGAGAGAAGAAAGAAGAGAAGAGGAAAAAAAGAAAAGAAGAAAAGGGAGAAAGAAGAACGAGACAGAATGACGTGCATCCTTATCGTTCGTTGTTTGGCTTCAGTTTCACCGAGGTCGAAGCTTCATCTGTAGGGCGATGACGGGAAGATAAGATATGTTAGAGACAAGAGCAGAGAGAGAGAGAGAGAGAGAGAGAGAGAGAGAGAGAGAGAGAGAGAGAGAGAGAGAGAGAGAGAGAGAGAGAGAGAGAGGAGAGAGAGAGTGAGAGAGAGAGAGAGAGAGAAGAGAGAGAGAGAGAGAGAGAGAGAGATGAGAGAGAGCTTGAAGCTTTATTGTTCGTTGTCTGGCTTGAGTTTCACCGGTTCGAAGCTTCTACTGCTAGGAGGATGAACTGCTCTCTTTGGGAGGATGAAACAGAACGTGTTAAGGAGAGGAGCTGTCAGTCAGGGTTTTCCCGTACCAGCATTTCTGCCGTTCTCTAAACATTAGATTATAAAGAAAACTGATATAAATAATAATATTGGACCATACATTATCA